GTGGAATTCAGATATTCAGATTGACATTCATCCGGCTCTTAACAGAAGCCAGCCTTCGATATAATGTCTGCATAATGCAGCGGCAGGTTCTTAATACACGTGACTGCATGATTGCACAATTCAGCTTAGGACACCCTGTAAGCTCAATGCTGGTTTGCATAGATTTATCTCACACTGCTGCTAATTCTCTGTCTCTGTCCTTCAAATGTTGGCTTTCAGTTTGCCATTCGTCAGCGTTCGAAGAAATCCAGGTGAGCCACACTGACTCAGCTCGCTAGTTCTGGTGCTGCCATCAAAGCCCGTCAGCTGGTGCCTGTGGAATGCCCTTGCAGAGGTCCAAACGTGATTTGCATACCAGGTGGCTCTGTTCTCTGTGCTTCACCTCTGATTTGCGGCTTCCTGTTGGAAGTTTCCCTGCCGACCCTGTAATAAACACGCCTGGGAGAGAGATGAGCGTGATGGATGCTTGGCGCGGGCTGAGAGGCACAGTGGCGTCGCGCCAGCGGCAGCAGCTGTCCGTTCCGCGGGCACTGAGCGATGGGCAGCTCCTTGCCGATTGCCTTATATAATGGGAGCCTGATTGCATTCATCACAGCTGGCTGCCGCTGATTTATCATTAACCTCTCTTTACTTGGCCAAACGTCACATCTCACCATTAGAAGTGTTAAGGGCTTCCCTGGATTCTCCATTCAGTTTTGTTAGGTTGTCTTTGTGTCTCTGTCCTCTGACTTTCTCTGTTCTGACTGCGTATTCCAAATGTGCAGAGAGGTTTTATCTCTGCTGTTGGACGGACGCATGATTAACATGGTTCATATCACTAATAACCAGCACGAGGGGGATTCCCAGCTTCCCGAGCCTCTGCATTGGTGTCGTTGTCCCTCAAACAGGTGGCCTGCTCTGAATAGAATGTACCAGGCGGAGAAATTTACTGCGGTATCTCATGAAGGCACCCCACCCCCCCTTGGCAATTTCAGCTCCCTCCCTTATGATCACCTTGCACCTTGGCTTTTTTTTTTTTTTTGCCCTGCGTCAAAGTAACAGTCAAACAGGGCAGTACTAAAGCCATATCATAGTTCCAGAGCTACTTATGTACCACTTTTGCTTTGGAAGGCTACATTTTTAGACACAAGCAAATTTGTATCAGCACATGCTATTGATGGTGATAATGGTAGTAATTTCCACTTACTTTCATTCTTTTTATTTTTTTTGTTGTCTGTTTTCACCATCATTCTATTGTAAGTGGCCAAACAGTGATCAGAAATAAGGTATAAATTGTCATTCAGTGTGTTTGGTTGTAAGTATAAACACCGCACCAGTACAAAAAACAATCTGTTGCTCTTTGACTAAATGGCAGAAACACGTAAGCTGCGCTCCTGTCTCGTTCCCTCTGTTCCTCCCTTCCGGCAGTCACACCTCTCTAGGGCTTTGTGTGGTCCAGTCCGGCGACCAAACAGAAAACAGGACTGGCAGCTTTCATGTCAAATTTCCTCTGCAGTGAACCGTGTGCGTCTGCCCCCACGTCAGGTTAATATGACATCGGTCACATGACATCATTACGACATTTTCCCTTTCCTCAGCTGTTGTCTGAGAGTGGATTACGGATTAACAGAGTGGAATTACAAATAAGACATTACAAATAAGTAATTGACCCTCAGGTCCGTGCTGTGCGGCTGAACTTGGCCCAGTCCTTTGCTTCCCCTGCCCGGAAAAGAACAGCTATCATGGAGAGATGGCCACAGTTTGGCACTGGCTTCTGAAAACAGACCTGGCTTGGTGGAGTATCCTCTACTACTCCTGCCTGTCCTCCACTGGGGGGGAGGCAGAGGGGGAGAGAGAGAGAGAACATAAACCTCTTCCAAAACCTTTGGAAAAACAAAAAACAAAATGTAGCACAAAGCTTCCTGTGTTCTGCTAGCCTTTATTTCAGCTTAAAATTGTAGCCTCCTGTGATAAATTCTCCTCCTGTTTTGGAGCAGAGGTGTGTTGGCAGACAGCAACAGCGGTGCTGGGGTATAAATTGTGGGTAGTAGGTGTAATATGTGTGATTTTTTTTTTTTTTAAGATAAAATATAATTTCTGCATTCAGAATTGCAGTAGAACAGGTTTGTCCACATAAGGCTCGGTTGGAGTGAAGAGGGAACTGAAAACCCGCCACATGAGAGCTGTTCTGGGGAAAGGCTGAGTGTGAACACCAGTGTGGCCCCAACAGACGAACGACACTTGCTAGCACAGTGTGTGTGGGGAACACCCACTGTGCACAGTGATCAGGGTTAGGGTTGGCTAACAATCTGTTTCTTTCAAACTATTATTTTTATTCTCTGGCTTCGTTCTGTTTCGCACCAGTTCTGATTGACTTAAGTGACATTACCACCTTTTTTATTAGCTCATCTGTATGTGAAGTCCTGCTTATCTGTACCTTTGTGTAAGCTTCATTCATGCACACGAGCAGCTGATTGGGGGCCCACTGTGCCCATCTTCCGGTGAAGGTACCCGGCGCATCATGAGCTGTGAGCACTGTCACCTACTGGACTGTTGGCCGCCAGTCTGTTGTGATTTTTCTTTTGCTTACATGCGTTTTTGTAACCTGCATCTCTGTTCATGAGTATCCCGCTCTTCTGTAGTAGCTGACTTATATTTTCAGCAGGGCTTTCCCCAAGGTAAAGACCAGGCCCCAAATAAGGACAGGGCATAGAAATGAACGTTTCATAGGGACATGTCTTTGTAAACTGAATGTTGCTGGTTAAAGTATCAAGAAAATCCCTGCTATACCACGAAGTGGTTCCCCATGGTTGTTACCTTGAACAAAGGGTTGTTTATTTTTAGTCCTGTTAATGACTGTTTTCTTAAGAAAGTGAATTTAATCCGGCTTTCGTTTATCTCTGTGTCATTTTCCTTGAACTCCAGCTGATGATTGAATGATGATGAATACGGGAGGAAGTGTCCAAGAGAGGTGGCCTTGTTATCTGATCAGTGACACCCCTGCCCATTCCCCTGGCCTTTGCTTGTTTCCTCCGAGGATATGGCCCCCTGAACCCCCACCTCCCTCCTAGCTGGGCTGCTGCTGCCTCAGATGAGTCGACGTGTTTTTCTGAGAGACAGGAAGCCCCCCGACACAATGAGGAGTGCTGACAGCGGAGCATGTGAGTGGCTCTGATAAGAGCCCCCTCCCACCCAGCCAGCCCCCTGGGCATGGTGATGTTAGTTCACCGGAGGGAGCTCTGTTCTTACCCTGCTATGTTTCTTGTCTCACACACTGGTGTGGCAATTATGGGTTTTATTGTTGGCACTGGGACTATAAGAGATTAATGGTGTGTTTACCCACTAAGACGGCGAGTCCCCAGGGAGTTCTCCCACCTCTGATATTGGACCCCCTAATGGCTGCAAAAAAGAAAGGACTGTAGCTGTGATGGTTGATGTTGAGTTCCCAACATTAGTTTGACCTCATGCTGCCGTGACAGTGGCTCACATTAAATGCTTTGGTTGAACATGGCGATATCTCTCTTATGAGGCCATTACCTGCCTGTTGCCTGGTGGGTCTGCCCAAGTGGCAGGATGCCAGACCATGCTGCCCATTTGGCAGTTGCTTTGCCATCTGCTTGTTGGCTCCTCCTGTGTTTTTTGCAGTGTTGTTTCACTTTGATTTAAACATGACTGTCGTTCACTTTCACAAGTGAAGAGTGATGTATTGCTCATGAAACACTACAGTCCAGATATCTGGCTTCTTCACCTGCTGTCCTAACGTGACACAAGGATCGTCCTTTTGTCAAATTCCTCCAGTGTAGCCCGTAGTTTGTGCAGTGTTTACTGCAATGGTGTTTTCAGCCTGTGGGATCTCCATGCCTGTGGTGAAAGACGCTTACCTGATTAGCCTACATGTGTATGACACTGAATGCGAACTGGTTTTCTGGAACAGATTATTTATTTCACGAGTACAACGCCTTCACCTGTGACTTTCCGGATGGTCGGGGGTTTGAATGACATGTTTGCGTGTAATTTCTACCCTCATGGAATCTGTTGTGGGAGTGGGGATAGTTTGCCAGGAGAGTAAGGTGTCAAGTTATTCCGCCATCGTGAAATACTTTTTCCATAGGCTTCATGTCTAATTATACGGCTTGTCATCATTTCATCCTTTAAGGGAAGCGACCTCCTGTGATGACTTGCTGATGGGTGGGGACACCACCAATCGAGTATCCCGATTATTCAGAATCGAAGCAGCTGAATTGGTGTGACGCTCGGGGCAAAAACCCATAATAATGCCTTGGTCATTGTACCTCATGGCCTTTAGCTGAAGGCAAGGCCGGCGAATGCGTCCTGTTTATGTCCCGGGGTGATTTATGCTGTCCCCTCCAATGTTCCTCTTATGTGACATAGTAGAACTCTTTCTGGCAATGTTCCAGAATTGAGCTGGTTGAAGCATTGAGGTCTGGGGGTGGGGGGGTGTTTTGAGGCTGGGTACAGAATCCAGGGATTAAAGAGATTTACTTTTCGTGTGTGAGAACTGAGGCCACTTAAGAAAGTGAAAAAAATTGGGGCAGTAGGTAGAGTAGTGGCTACTTGTACCCTAGAGTTTTCTAGTCCCTGGGGCTGATGTAGGAATCTTGAGCAGGGTAACCTTAATTGTTCCTGTAAAATATTTTTTTTAATTGCATGGATGGATATAGGGTCAACTGAGGTAAATGAATAACCAAATGTTAGATAAAGGATCTGATCTCTGATCAGATGGTGGTGAGGACTTGACCTCTTTCTTCCATTATTCTGATTGAATATCACTTAAATCCCTGTTTACGTTATTAAACATGCTTTCATTTTAAATAGAACAACCAAATATATCAAGCCAGGAAGCACACATTCTGAAAAAAAATATAGTATAAAGTACATTGCCAAGAGAACAAATCACTCTCGATGATGTTAAATTTAAATTAAATTTTGACTGCTAAATATGAGTTTTCGTTTCCTGTGATTTGAAGTATTTATTATATATATATATATATTTTTTACAGAGGTCAACACAGAGAAGAGTGAACTGAAGGCATTCTTTGAAACCAACTGCTCACAGATTTATTTTATCTTCTATGAAAATTTCATTACACTGGAAAATAACTTAAAGCAAAGAGGTAAGTCTGCCCGTCGTCATCTTGCACCATCCCACACCAGGCAGTGTAGAGAATGTCTCAATGTAAAGTGTCGACATCAGTTAAGTTTGTTTGTTCCTTTTTTTGCTGTAGTTGTTCTGGATCATTATTGGTTCCTTATTCAACCCTCAGTGATCTTGTTTTACCCGTCTCATTTGAAAATGGGTGAGACCTAGAGCGTCGTTCTAAGGCAGCGTTCGAGCCACCTGAAGTCTTTGTCGTCGAGGTCAGAGGCGTGGCTCATTGGGTTTAAGGGTGTGGAGCTCACGACGACACACAAAGGCGGATAGAAGACAGGCCACAGTCTGTCATTCACACAATGCCTTCAGTCTTCGAAAGAATTCCAAAAACTTGATATGTCAACTGGAATTATTAGCTGGGAGGGAAAAAAAGTCAACATTACTCAGCAGATGCTGAGTCTTCATTGTAGTTTAGATCGTTTGCAGTATTAGATCGTCAGAACTCCCAGTGTAGCCTTGATGCTAACATTACAATTAGCACACTTTCCTGCTGCTGTGAAAATTGATTTAGTGCAGCATTTATGTCTGTCAGGGACTGTTAAATAAATACTTGACATGGTGTAAGTGCCTTCATGGGGAGTGAATGTGATTGGTTGCTCCATGACAACTACAGAGAAATCAAGTGCTTATGACATCTTGAGTTTTGTTTTTTGTGCTGTTTATAAATGTATAGGCTGTTTTGCCCACCGTGTGTGTGCGCACATTCCAAACAAGTCTCATTTCAAGGTTCGTTTAGCACAGTATGGCGTGCTCCGCGCATGCCAAGCTTGTTCTGTAAAACCCAGCATGCTGAAATTACAGCCCTTCACAGACTGGAGCTGGTACACCGGCTCGGTGGACTAGCATGTGGCTAACATTTTAGCATCATGATTAAATATGTGGTACATACTTTTTGTCCCTGATATGTATGTTTAATTAGGCTGTTTACAGTGACAGTAAATAGATACAGCACTGAATTCAATGCTGGGGCTGGCCAGCGCACAACATGGTGGAATTGAGCAGTCTTTGTAAACGCTAGTGCTTATCAGTCTTAAGCTTGGGAACCCCTGCCCACCTATCTCCGAGAGGAAAACCCAACCCGCCACCCAACCAGTCATTCGCTTTAACCTGTTGAATCATATTTCCTAGTTCAATTCTTCAAATTTGTATGTAGTACCTTTCTCAATATGGCTGCCCTATGATGTATAACAAGGGTTTAGTAGCAGCTTTGCAAAATACTCCAGTCCTCACAAACCGACGTCACCACAGTTAATGTTACACAGTCTTAAAAGTCATTCTCAAAGTCATTGGAAGAGAGAAAACATGGTGGTTGTAGGAGAGCGAGGAAAAAACCTCTGTGGATTCAAGGACACCTGGCTGTCGAATTCCCTTGGGCAGACTGGCCTCGTATGAGTCAGAAAATGCTGTGCAAGAGTTTTTGCTGCAAAAATGTATTGTGATACAGTGGGCTTCCGGACATCTGGTGATGTTGACAAGCCTCCTAAACCCCCAGTGTCCTGCAGAGGGCAGCGGTCAAAGTTCTTGCCCACTAGTGCTGCTTTGACATAGCTCTGCATCCCTGTGTAGCCCTGCTCACTCAGCTCATCTCATCCAGCTGTCCTGGAAAGGACATCCTGCTGGCCTGAAACCTCAAAACTGACACTGCATAACTATTTGCTCTTTCAGGGAACAAATCACAAAGGGAGGAGCTGGACTCCATTCTCTTCATTTTTGAGGTATGTTCTTTTGACCTGGTGTTAAATGTGCTGTTTTTTTGGAAAGCAAATAACCTAAGTGGAAGAGGATTAATGTGTGCATCCGTGTGTGTGTGTGTGCGTGTGTGTGTGTGTCGGGGGGGTTCAATCTGTGTTTCTCTGGGTTTTCCTGTGTTCTCCTGCAGTTCTAAGATATGCAGTTAGGTGAACTGGTCTCAAAAAAAGATGACCAAGATGGATGGATGGATGGGGTAGGAAGGAAGTGCATTGTCTCACTTGGGTTTTAAAAGTTGATGATGGAAGTGATTCTGTTTGGGTTTGTTTTTGTGTGTCATGGGGATGTTACATAACATTGACAAAAAAAAAAAATTAACATTTTTAATTTTTATATTGGGAAATTTATTTTCTTTTTCATGCATATCGTGGGAAACAAAAAGCAGGAAAATGTTCTCTGGGTTTTTTTTTTCCACCACAGTCCCTACGTAAAACTTTGGTTACATGACTGATAACATCAGAACTGGGAAATGGTCTCTGCTTGGCAAATGTATTTACGCAGGTGGTGGGAGGAACAAGGCTTTAAACCCTAATGTGGGTGGAATTATGGTGTTTTCTCTCTCCCTACTTGGTTTTGCCAAATAGGAGCCAGCTGAAGTAACCAATATGGCGGGGGTTAATCATGTCAATCTTATGTTTAAAATCCTCAGGTACTCAAACGACCCTGAATCCATGTTTTAGGGTTTGCTGTGTGCAATGGCGTCATTCTCGTATTAATTATTGATCACAGGGGACCTGAAATTTCAGCATTACTGATAAGTGCACGCTCTCTGTGGCTGTGGGACTAATCTAGGTTTCATCTTGGCTTTTTTAGAAATTGCAAACACATTAAAACATCCAGACCAAGAGACTGCACTCATAGCCTAAATATAGTTTTGTTTTTTTTAAAATATTGATGAAGGGAGCCTTTCAGAATAACGTCACAGTGAAAGCCGCTTATCGCGGCGTCGTGCGGCTGGCCCTACCTCCCGTCCGTGGTCTTCCAGTGCACTGACAGATAACGCAGCTGCTGTACTCCATGCATTGGCCGGGCTAACTCTGCTTTCTGACATTTCATGCCTCGGAGTCAGAATGGACACATTCAAATACATTCAAATTTGCTTCACTGGAACCTCTTTGGGTTAAGTATTAAATATTAACTACCACTGATGAAATTACAGTACATAATTTGGATCTTTTGGAATTATTATTATTTTTTTTAAATATTGAGCACTTTTAAAATCTGTCGTAAAAAGATATACATTAACTTCACCCTGGGAAGAAGCTGCTGTGAGTGTTTATGTTCTTTGAGCTTTCTGGTGGAATACATTTTCTTTGTTTCAGTCACATCTCAATGGATAACAATTAAACAAACAAACAAATAGTGAAGAGCCCTTGGTGAGAGTAACAGGGCTGTGATGGTGCAGTCATCATCATCATCTTCATCATCATTATTGTAGTAGTAGTATTTATTTGTTGTTGTTCATTTATTAAAGCTAAAGGCAGAGTTCACTAGTTAGATGTTCACAGCCATGTGCTCATTACTCCCCGTTACCTTGGTGGCTGCTCTTTTGGACGTGTTCCCCCACCCTGTGGAGGGCCCCGATGGCCAGGCCAATTTAATAAAGGCGGAGGGCGGCACAGCAATAAGGTGCCATACGCACAAAGCTGCCCCCCTCCCTCCCACATTCCAAAGGCCTTTGCTCAGCCTGGCATCTGACCTGCTTCGCTTTAACATGGATTTTCAGCTTACCACCAGTGTGGTTTGTTGCCCCCCCCCCCCCACCCCAGTTTCTTGTTTGTTTCCTTATTCTGCCCACCCCCACCCAGGCTGCAGACCCCCACCTGACTCCCTGGTGAAGCCACAGCCACAGACTTTGTCTCAGGCAGCTGAGTGGGGGTCTCTGGGGGTGGGGGTGCGGGATGCCTTTTACATATCCCTTTTTTCAAATGGAAAATAGCACCAGGGTCTTGCATGGAAAACTGTCACATTTTTTCCTTCTGAATTAATTTTTGTTCCATCGTTCTTTTGCTGGATCGATGTTAAAAGTGCCATAGAACTTTTAGCTATACTATTTATGTTGGCCTGTGCTAAGTCTTTATTAAAATTAAAAGCTAAAAGACCAATTTTGATTTACATCCTCTTGAGTCCTGCCACTTCCAGACTTAATCATGCAAAGACGCATAACCATATGCACAGTTTAACCTACGGGCTCAGTTGCATGCTTGGCTTTTTTGTGAAGCAACACATTAGGTGGTGATATCAGAGGTGTGACTAAAATGTAGTGTCATTCAGCGCAGAAAAGTAGCATTTCAGATATATTGCTTTATAAAGAAACTTCAAATGGCTGTATCATGTGTGCCTGCCAAAGTGCTTGACTGAAAGAGGATAGGGTGTCGGTGCAGAGCTCTCTTAGGGAAGTCTGTTAGGTCATGTGACCGCCGACGGGCGTCGTGCACTTTACTTCGTGGCAGAGCTGTAAAGAGACCCTACGCTCCAGCCTTGAGTAGGTCTTTGGAGCTGTAGGTGCAGCAAACCCCGCTTGGGAGACACAGGCTCCTTGTCTGAGGGGCTGTCGGCTAACAACGGCCCTCTCAGGGCGCAGAGGGGCAGTTTGTGTTTCAGCCTCTGCCCAAGTGACAGCGCCATAAAACGATTTGCATGCTACCTAACGAGGCTTCCTTGCACATCCACTCTGATTGGCTGGTGTGAACCAATCGAGTCGCCAGGACTGCCCTGCAAATAGTGTTCACTATTCAGCAGAGGTGTAAGGTTTCATATGGCTGGCCTCTCTCTCTGCCTCTCTCTCTCTCTCTCTCTCTCTCTCTCTCACACACACACACACACGCACACTGCTGTGCACTGGAGTACGGTATGTTGAACACAGCTTCATGGGCTATGTTATATTGCCTTGTCATATTACTGTAACGGAGCCACTTGTTAATTACTGTCCCCCGGGTAAACAAACACAGAGATTTTTATCAGCGTCAGACTGTCTTCATTCCTTGTTTATGTACACAGGGTGCATTAATTACCACTGCTGTAGTTCAAAGGGAGATAAACTTTTGTTGAGATATTTAACAAATAATTAAAAACATTTGACATCACCCGAAATATGAAGAAGCTAGGTGCTGAAATGACAGGGAGTCAGTTTAAGGTCTGAAGGGTCTCCGAAGGCTTTCCTGTGACTCTTAGGTAACTACTCATCCAGCCTTTACCTGCTTTGAGTTAAAAAAAAAAAAAACATTTTGAGCTGCTATTGGGGAGGAATAAAACCAGAATATAGATGTAAAGCACCCCCTCACTTGTATTTGAGGCCTATAGTGCCGTTTTGGAAACACAACCCTGAAGCTCTGTGCCCATGGTCTGACAGATGGGCATGCGGCACGCCCCTGAGCCTGTTACTCGCCGACCATTTGAGCTTGGCATCGCCCCTCGTGCTGGATGCTGGGGGCCCTGGGATGGGCTTACACCATTGCCCATCATTGCTTTGGAAATGCTAGAATTTCACTGTGCACCTGAAGTTTCTGTATGGGAGCTGCTTGCTGTGCTTTGACGATGGGGATGATGATGGTTATTTTAGCTGGTGTTTTTACCAAAAGCAGCTTGCATTTCTATCCATTTCTTTGAAGGGGGAACATGTTCTGTTGGCCTTCGTAGCAATCTGACTTATTTTGGCTCATCTCCGTGGGTAAAGAGAGTCACAGTAGTAACGCGAGCTTCTCAGACACCCTGTGCATAATTTTATCTTCTCGATGAGCCCTCAGAGCCACAGTCCTGTGGTAGCCATTTGGAATCTCCAAGTTTCTTCAGGGGACTGGCTGTTTTGCATTGGAAATGGTCTCTCGGAAAGGGAGGATCCCTGTAGCGTTTGGGTTAAAGACAGGTTTGCCTTTTACTATTGATGAAGCTTAGCATGTAAATAACAGGCTATCTATGTCGCAGAAGTGGTGTCTCCCTGCTTTAACCCTCAGGGCTGCAGCTCATTGGTCTTGACTCCTGTCAGTCAAAATCCCCTGCATGTAGATGGACCCTCTACTTGCCACACATGCAAGTGTAATGGGTTGTAACTTTTAAGATGGGCACCTCTGGCCTTCCTTGTCTGATGGGAGACGTGGTCATGCTCGTGCGTCTTGCCGGCCTTTCAGAGGTACGGCTGGGATCCAGTCCTTGCGGTTTCCTTTGATTTCTGTTGTCAGTGTCCTTTGCAGTCAGCGCAGATGCCGCTCAGCTGAGAGTCTGCCGCACAGCAGCCCGTTTCATTTTGTGCAGGTGTTCTGTGTTTTACCTGAGCGATCGGCCCCTTTCTGGCTGGTAAAACATCAAAAAATGCAGCCAAGCCGATAATGAAAACATGCTGTAATTTCATTCGACATTTATCCTCCCCATCTTGATTTTCCTCTGCACAGAAATAACAGATTTAAGAGACTGGCCTTTTTTGACCAACATGTTGAGTGAGTTGACCTCAAAGTGGGCTTGGGCCTCAGTTGACAGGAGGTGAAGAAACATGAACTGCTTGTTGGATGAAATTAAACCACTCAGGCAGGCAAGGAGTGGGACTGTTTTCAGGCCAGGAGTTTTATGCCTAAGACCAGCTCGTTTTGTCTCTGTTCTGGGGAACTATGATAAATGATGCCACAGTTCAAGTTTTATCTAGATAATTTTTTACTGACATTTCAAGAAGCCCAGTCTGCTTTCTTTCTAGCATCCATCCTTAGCGAAACTTCCAGTGATTAGGAATAGCATGCAGTTAGCTGAGGGCGCTCTCAGTTCTAAATGACAGGCGATCACACTGACACGCGTGCTGCGTATTTGCACATTTACTCTGCGCAGAGCAATCATGGTCTATTGTATGTGTGAGCGCTTGTGAGAGTACTCACTGTGTAACATTCTGAAGCGTTATAGAATTTTAAAGATAAAATTATTTAGTTTCCGACCAGCTCAATTTCAAACTTGTCAAATTATTTAGTTTCTGACCAGCACATCAGCTAAGTGGCCCATTGGGAATTCTCTTGATTGGTGCCTCTGGGCCTGGATTCAGCCAACTTCTGTCTGTATAAGTTATCTAGTAGAAGAAGGTGGAAAGTGTGCTGAGCCCAAAGAAGGATGACACAGTATTGGAGTTGCTCCAGGATTTTTTGAACTGCCGTTTCCGATCCTAACAGTCTTCCTGAGGCACCTTTCAGAAAAGCATATTCAAAGTCACGATTGGTGCTTATCTGCACGCCTAAGCATGGATCATGTAAATGGGCGATTCGGCCATTCGGTGCACAGCTCAGTTGCCATAATACCTGATTTTTATGGCCGGAGTATGATGGCAGATTAGATTACCGCTCATCTATGAAGTCTGCTTGCTCTTGGGTGGAACTTTCTGAGCTGGTGACTAGATTCCATTGTTGCCCCAGCTCTTTTAGCCTTTTTTGGGGTTTGGGGGGTCATTTCTTTTGTTTTTCCCCCTTGCCACCAGTAGTGAAAGTGATGAGCATTAATTTCCCATTCCCCAAACACCACTTAGACAACACCCCCACCTACTTTGCCATCCTCTTAAATAACGCATGAAGGTTTTTGTGGTTTTGGGAGGAGGGGCGTTTGGCGTCTTTGTTGGTGATGTAGATTTAGGAGGAGGGGGGGCAGGAGGCTGAAATGAGTGGTGCAGCAGAGTAATTGGCCTCTCACTGGGGCCTTGAAGTTTGACAGATTGACATCTGTGGTGATACGCGCCGGCAGCCAGCCAGGCGGTCAGACTGACAGGCAGTTCCTCCAGAGGTCAAAGATCCCTCGTACAGCCTGTCGTCCATCGCGGTCGATGCCAGGCGTGCTGAGTCTTTCAGAGAAAATGACTCTTAAGCTATCCAACCACCCAGCATCCACTGGGGAATGCCCTGTCAGCCTTTGTCCTGGGAAGGCGGGCCAATGGCAGTAATGCAACAAAACATCCCACTAAAGGGGGGGGCGTCCTGCAGCGAACATCCAGCAGCAAACATCCAGTATACCCCCCCAGACCTCACCAACGCTGTGTGTTCTAAAGAGGTTTCCATCTTCAATTTTATTATGTAACTCAAGGCTGGAAGAATTAGCATTTTACAGTCTTAGAGAATAGTTCACCTGTTTTTTTTTTTGTTTTGTTTTGGTGAATAAGATGTATATGTGGCATGTTTTACTAAAAAATAGTATTTGACCGTATGTATATGGCATTAATGTTGTAACACTCCTTTCTCTTACAGAAAATTCTTCAACTTCTGCCAGAGAAAATTAACAGTAGATGGCAGTTTCACAGTATAGGTAAGTCGTTAGGTGGTGGGAGGGCGGCTGAACACAGGAATTGGTTCCCACATGGATCATTGGATATGTGCGCGAGACGCAGACCTGAGCTGATGGTCTTCCGTCAAGCTTAATCCCATTGGCTAAGAGGGGGTTGTAGGGCTGCTGTCATTGGTCAAGCAGCCAGCCTGTCATCCCTGTTCGCTCAACAGCCACAAGGACTACTGTGCACTGAAGGGACACCAGTAAGCGGCACTTAACGCACTCTCGGCACGGCGTTAAGGTATTCTTACTCGTGTTACGGCTGACATTTCCCCAGACCTTTAGCTAATGAGCACTGGAGAGCCCTTTTCTAATGAGGCTCCGTGGGGCCGTCCCTCTGGGTGCAGTTCTCTTTCCTCCACCACTGTGTGGCCGAAACCCAGATTCGAGTGTCAGCTTGAGGTCCCCTGCCAGTTTGAGCCCTACTGGACCCCAAAACCTTAACCCCCCCCGAAATGTAACCCGGCACCCTGCCAGTTTGCCACCCGTGTCACTGAACAGTGTGCTACCGGCTGTATCTAGCAAGTGGATAACTTTCAGCGTTGGGTCCTGGTTCACCAGCAGCCATAGTGCCACATTATTTGGGGGGTTTGAAGCTGGGGGCCCAGGCTACGCTTGCTCCTATTGGTTCCCCTCCCCCTGTCGCACTTCCACGGCGTGGATTAGCGCGGCGGACGGTGTTTCCCTCACATGTGCTCAGAGGTGTTCTCCCCCTCCCCCCCTCAGCCACGGCGTCCTTATAACCAGAAAAACCCCACAGGGGATGATTATTGGCATAACTAGGCTTAAACCGTTCTTGTCCAAAGAAAATAATTAGTTTCAGAGGAAAAAGGTAAATGAAAATGCAAATGAGGGTCTAATTTGAAATGCAAATTGCTAATTAAATTATGCAGTGCTCCATTTCAGGATCCTGAGCGGTAAAAACCTTGGAGGTAGTGATAACCTCTATTATCTTCTGTTTGTCAGCCAACCCCCCCCCCCCCCCCAACTATATTAGGCAGTAGGGCTCATTGTCTCACCGAAGGCATCTTATCCCCCTCATCTGCTCACAAACACAGTCCTTGTGATCGTAATGCCGCTTACCGTAAAACCCAGTTTGTGTGGAAATGTGGGGGTGGCTCAGTAGGAACCTTCTAGAATGGGAGCAGAGCAGTTCACCAGTCTGATGCCTTCTGCTTAGTGACCTATGACCAGGTGGTTTGGTTTATTCACTTATTTGCACCATGCAAAGGCAGCCGTACCTTAAAATACTAAATTGTGATGTGGCCCATGAACCAGAAAGGCATGTGTGTTGCTCTGTGGGGAAGAGGCAGCGATCAGACCCGGGCATCCGCTTCGGCTTAGGATCCACTAACTGCTGCCATTATGCTCTGTCTCTCCTCCCATTGAGCTTAGATCCTGGGTCAGGGGGATGCACTCCTACCTCCACGCTGTTTCCACACCAGATACCTATTAATTCACTGGAGAAAAGGGCATTTTCCTCACCTGTAGGGCAGTTAAATGTCCCTTTCTACTTGCACTTAATAGGTCTTTTAACTGCACAAAAAGGGGATTTCACTTTTCATCGTAGCTTTGTGTTTTTGAAAAGCATGTTTGGCTCTTCTGACTCCTTTACAGGGACAGTTGCTCTGTATTCATGTACACAGCTTCCTGTTCAAGTCTTGTCTGCTTTCGTTTCTTACTCACAGGTTCTAATTTGAAGAAGCTTTTGCACACTGGCAACTCTTTCAAGGTAAACGATCACGCCGCCGTGCTGCATCGCACACGCTAACGCTCCTGCACGGTTCGCGAGCAGACTCCGCCGCTCAGTTTTCCAGCAGATGCCGATCAGTGATGTTATCGACAAAAACGAGCTTTTCTGTACATTGTTTTAGTGGAAACCTGTCTGTGAATGCCATTGCTTATCTGATAAGTCCTCCAGGCTTGGTCTCAGTGGGATGCAATTGGTTGAAATGAGATGCGGGTCCAAACGGCTGAAGACGGCCTCTGCTCTGTGCCGCAGGTCCGATGTGAAGGGATCCGCCTCTTCCTGCTGTGGCTGCAGGCCTTACAGAATAACTGCTCCGAAGAGCAGTACCTCATCTTCGCCTGTCTGGTGCCAGGCTTCCCCGCCGTATCCTCATCACGTGGGCCCTGCACTCTGGACACCATCATCTACAACCCCTATTCCAACCCACCTGAGGGTGAGCTCTGAGCCAGCGTGGACTGCTAGGGATCTGGTAGCTTCCAGCTATTTGTGATGTCAGAAGAGTAGGAGCACCTGCCCGTAGAATACAAAAGATGGAAAGGAAAAATCCGAAGTAGGCCTGGTGTGCTAAGAGGAAATCTGTGATGTGATTGAATGGGGAGTCTTAGAACATGAAGAGGGGATTGGTTTAGATCAGGGCTATTCAATTCAGGCCCTCGATTCCAAATCCAGGCCTTGTTTTCAGGTCTCCCAGGTAGTTAGTTTAATAATTACTGATTCTGATTGGTCAGAGGCTTCACACCTGGCTCATAGGTGAAGGAAGGCTGGAAAATCAGCAGGGCTCAGACCTTGACCATGAGTTGAATAGCCCTGGTTTAGATATTTGTATCTGGCTGTGTTGTCAGACACAAGAGTTGGGATGTGACACAATAACCAGGTGGTTGCTCTAAACTCATCTTGCAGCCAAGGTTGTCCCTGAGGAGATCACACCGCTGGTGCCAGCAGTAGCTGGAGAGAAGCTGGTCGAGGACCAGACCTGCTACATCCTCCAGACGCTCCTCAAGTTCATGGTCCTGCAGGTGAGAGTGAGGCAGAGTGTCCATTCTCCGTGTCGAGCAGCTCCCCATTCTGCGTTCTTGGCTGTCCATTACTCCACGTTTTCCCCTCCCCGCTCTTTTGGGTGGCTCTTCTTTTAAGGCATCAAGCTTGGAATGGAAGAACAAGGAGAACCAAGACTCTGGATTCAGGTTCCTCTTCAGCCTTTTCAGGAAGTACTACCTTCCACACCTGTTCCCGTCTTTCACGAAGTTCACCAACCTTTATAAGCCTCTGCTAGGTGAGAATCCGTCACTTGGTTAAGATGAGCAGCCTTCTGTCGGTAGTGGAAGCATCCTGTCTGCAGTGTGCTGATATAGAAAGCCATCAGATTTTGTTTGTATGTTTTGATGTGTTAAATCAGTAGTTATTTGATAAAATCCTAACATTTTAATGTGTCAGACTTAGGGATGTTCCCCAGCTTCACTGGCTAATTTGCCAGAAGTTGCCCAATAATTGCAACATCGTTCACAAAATGGTGCGAAACATAAACGTTACAAAAAAGACACAAATCTGAAGTGCCTGTTTAATATACTGGGGATTAATAAATCAATGAATGAATAAAATAAATCGTTCTCTCTCCCTTAGGCTATGAAGCATTAGCCTATTAATGTCATTTTTCATCATGAAATTTCAGTCCCTCTCTCGCTCTCACACCCCCGTGCCAGATCTCCCCCCCTTCAGACCGAAGCCCCTTTATGTTCCCGTGACGCGCAACAATGAGAGCACTTTCTGCACCCGGGACCAGTACCTGGCCCCCCGTGTGGCCTTTATCACCTGGCTGGTCACCTTCTTCCTGGAGAAGAAGTACATCAGCACAGCTGTGTCCAGCACTAAGAATGGAGGGGAGGTCCTTCCCAAGTTCATCCAGGTGAGTGGCCGGTTCTGATTGATCCACACTGCTGGGATTGGCCGAAATCCATGCCTGTCATCCTGGAGCCATATTATAATAATTTTTTCCCCAAAGCCTTTCCAAAAAATCACTGTACATGAAAAATATCGTGCTGATATAATTAAATGGTGTTGTGCGTATAATCATTTATAATGCAGCAATAGCACACATGGTTTGTTCCTTAATAAATCTCCTGCTTGAAGCTCTTCTGTTTTCTGTTCCTCTGGAATTAAGAAATAGTTTGTCCTGGAAAACAAATCTGAACAAATTCCTCAAGTTATCACACTTTAATGTTTAGTCACAAGATTCTGATAAGCACATGTCCCGGGCTGTTAGCAAAAGGTCACCTCTGTCACCGCTGCTCTCTTATCGCGAACGTGACGCTCTGTAATGTGCACCGACCTGATGGGTGCTGGGCCGCCCGCTTTATTGGCTTCTATATTTGTGTGTGCATGTCCCCGCATGTTCCTACTTGTTTCTCCATCTGTCCATCTCCTGTGTGTCTGTCACATGGCCTGGCTCATTGCTCCGTCGTGTGGGCAGACTGTAACCGCGGGCGGTACCGGCCAGGATAAAGAGAAGGAGAGGATCCCGGAATCAGAGTCCAACGGGCCGGCGGAGCAGGAGAAGAGCCACTCCAACAGCAGCACGCTGTCGGACCGGAGGCCCAGCAACTCCAGCCTGTGCAGCATCGAGGAGGAGCACCGCAGCGTCTACGACATGGTGTACTGCATCCTGCTCTCCACCCGCGACAACGTCAACTTCGTCAATGAAGTTTTTCACCAGGTGGGAGCTCCGTCCACCAGGGGTGGGGTCCCTTTTAACAGCTACCTGAGCTGAATGTTGCACCATCATAGTGCACGGTCAGATAAGCACGTATCATTGCTGCAGGAGCATCTTTGATTTAAAAAATAAAAAATAAAAAACACTATAAATAGTCATATAATGCAGCTGTAGCTTATGAAGTTTATGTCCATAATAAATATTATCCACACATTTTGTTCTTTGATGACGATTAAGATGTGCATCACAGGCAAACGGTTGTACTTGTCATGCGTGTACCGTTGAAAAGAACAGTGAGCAGTTTTTAACTTGTGTTTTGCTGCCCCCTTGTGGATAGATCTTATTATGAGTTTGTAGTGTAATATTAATGTTGTTTACCAAGTCATGCTTTCAATATCGTGTTGTTCCCGCCAGCAGTATCAGGACTGTCTATCTTTGTCTGCAGGCTTTCCTGCTGCCCTCCTGTGAGGCTTCGGCAACCCGGAAGGTGATAAAGGTGTACAGGAAATGGATCCTGCAGGAGAAGCCGGCTTTCATGACTGAACCGGAGAAGGGCAGCCGGGACGAGGAGGGAGAGGATGAACTGGAGCAGCTGGCTGCTGAGACAGATGGCCCGCCGGAGCAGGTAGTGTTACACTGAGCGTGTGCAAGGGCGTGACATGCACACTCAGCATGGCTCACGTGCAGATCTGCATGCACCACCTGAGACTGCATGTCTTCTTCTTCCCCAGACTTTGGAGAGCCACGGGCACAAGCGTTCGTCCAGCTGGGGGCGCACTTCCTCCTTCAGTAACGCCATCAGCCGAGGCTTTCTCACAGCGGAGGGGAACAGTGACGTCAAAGCTGGTATCCAGTCCACGCTGCAGGTACCCGGCCGCAGTGCCACCGTCCTTCACAGGCTGACGCAGTGCTTAACATATAATCCACAGACTGTGCCTCCACCACACCCCCCAGGCCCCCCCTACCCTATGTGTAAATAACAGCTTTTTAAATTCAGATTTGACCTGGTGGCCAAATAATTTCCACTTGTGGGCTCTTGTTCTCAAATCAGTGCAACCAGTAAAGTGCTAATCAGGGTTGACCTTGTCCGTTCCTCTCAAGAGCTTGTGTTGTTGATGCGTGAAAGCTTTACTTGGGAATGAGGAATTAGTCCTTCCAGAATCTTCTTGAATGGCAAACTCTTCTTGTGATTTTCCCACTGAACTGATCAGATAAATATGAATGAAGGAAGATCACGTTCCAGGAAGATCTTCAGTCAGGACTGAACGTGTGAATAATAATGATTTGTAATTGAATGCATGACTCTGCTGGAGGTGTCTGGGTGAGGTGGCAGTTCCCCAGCATTCTGGGCATCAGCGTTTGTTGTTGCAGGTGTTCCTGACAAACTCGGCCAATGTGTTTCTCCTGGAGCCCTGCCACGATGTTCCCAGGCTGGTGGAGGATCAGGTGGAGGTGTGTAAGGCCGTCCTCAACATCTACAGGCGTATGATCATGGAGCACAGCATGAACCGGAGGACCTGGTGAGTCCGCCCATACCCGCCTTTGCCTCTTGGAGCTTTTTATGGTAATTATCAATGAATGCTTTTCTCCTGCGTAGCTGGGAAATATCTGTAGCTGCATTAAAAATAAAAATGTAAAACAAAACCCCCGAATGGATTCTTCAGTCGTTTCAGTTTTTCTGTTTCCCTGTAAAAATATTCTCTGTAAATTCCATGGGGTGGATTATTAGCTTTGTGTGCGTGGAAAACGCTTCATAAATCACGCAACCGGAGTCTGTGCCAAAGGTAGGTCATTTATTTCTGTCTGCTGCGTGAGTCTAAGACGTGGATGGCTGTGTAGAAGAAGAATAGTTTGTGGTGGAGTTTGCCGGTGTCTTTATTAGGCGGCTCGTCCTGCGTAGCTCATGGCTGGCTATTTTCAGGCTCTAATTTACAAGTGCCTTAGAAATGACACGAGCCGAGAGACACGTGTGATGTGGGGGTGTCTGATTAGTGGGATTCTGACGTGGGGGAGGGGGGGGGGTGTCTCTGCAGGGAGCAGATGCTGCAGGTCCTGCTCAGGATAACGGAGGCGGTGATGAAGCAACCGACGGAGAGCCAGAAGAAGGACGCCTTTGCCGAGAGCTTGGCGGCGATCCTCTTCCGAGTGAGTTTGCGCTGGTGGGGAAGGTGGGCATGAGCTGGTCAGCATCAGCAAAGGACGCAAGCTTCTTGGCGTCGTGAGAAAGTGTCACAGTGTCTCTAACATGGGGATTGATGCTGTATTACATAGACTCGCATACCTTTATAGGTCCCTGTTTCTCCCTCGAACACATTGTTATTTAAACAGGGAGAACATCCATTACTTAGTAATATAGATATTTAGATCTTTAACTAAACCTCAGCTGGTCCATGTGTTACATTTCCACCTCCATTCAGCAAATTATGACCTTTACGATTAACTGATGCCTTTGAATCAGATCAAGGATAGAATATTCAAATCAACGGTGTGGCAGCGGCTCTCCAGATATTTAGGAACCATCTCTGACGGACATCAGACTAGTTAGGCCGTGTTGTGTTGGGTTTGCCCTGCCTCACCCCCACAGCCTAGATAAATGCTGCCGTTTGGAATGGCATGCTGTATCTTGAGCCATGTGGGCGTGTCCCCGGTGTCGCCCAGACGATCATCGTGGCATGGGTGCGGGCCAACCTGAGCGTGTTCATCTCCCGGGAGCTGTGGGACGAGCTGCTGGCGGTGCTGTCCTCGCTCACGGACCGCGAGGAGTTGGTGGCCGAGTGGGGCAACATCATGGACTCGCTGACAGCCGTGCTGGCCCGCACCGTCTACGGCCTGGACATGAGCAACCTGCCGCTGGACCGGCTCAGTGAGCAGAAGGAGAAGAAGCAGAGGTGGCGAGGTACAGCCATACCCCCCCCAGCAGGGCTGTGTGTATATATTACATTGCAGGTATTTAGTGGGTACAATGTGATGGAAACCTGCTATATTGATGTTGTGGGGATCACCTTTTTGGTCCCCACAAGGGGAAAAATCTGTGACTTTTGAGTAAAGGTCTATGTATGTGTGTGTAATAGAGAATTCCACTCATACTGAAATCATTCCAGGCTTTAGTGAAGCTAGAAACCAAAAAAGTTCTGGATGTCAGTGTTGGACTTTGATTACATCACTTCCTGTTAACGTTGCTAATATATGGTTGTACGTTACTAACTGCTTTGTAGGCATTGGCCCTAAAGGAAACGTGCCCATTAATTCACCGTGTCTCTGTTCTTTGTGTGTGTGCGCTGGAGTCACAGGGGTATCACAGGATTCCCAGAAGTCCGCCGCCGCTGGCCGCTCCTTCTCGCTGAGCTGGAAGAATCAGGGGGGCGCAGGGGTGCAGGAGCCCATGAGGTCCCGCAGCGCCACCACCTCCGGGGCTCCGGGGGTGGAAAAGGCTCGCAACAGCGTCCGGCAGAAGGCCACAGGTCAGCCCTCCGAGAGCCGCGGCTCTCGCTCCATCTGAGGATGAGTCCTGCTTTATAAGTCTCTCCGTGTGTCTTGACGTTCACAATTAACCATCTTCTAGAGAACGTGTGCCTGCAAACTATATCTGCTACAGAGGTAGCTTGCTAGGATTTTAACAGCACATTCCCTATCAAAATGACAATTCTCCTTTATAGACACTTTTTGTCCAGATCATGGCATTATTGAAGTATATTAAATAATGTAGCCTGGCTTATCGCTGCATGGCCAGTGCCAAACGTGTCACAGTCACGTCTTTGAAGTGATGTCCTGCGGTGGTCAGATTTTTGATGTTTAATTTCTCCTGATATCTCATTGGGACGACACCTTTTCGTCCAGCGTTAATTCCTGTTTGGATGACTTGCCTTCTGGCAGGAACCGCGTCCACCCAATCATCAAGGCACAGAGAGCAGGCTGCGCTCTGACACAGTGCCTTTCGTCTAGCTCTTTATTGTGGCGAGGGGGCTCCTCATGTACTGAACCCTGAGCACAAAGGCAGACAGATGGCCCCCGTCGTCACCTGCGAGCAGAGAAAACGTGTTGTGGCTTGTGCCCTGTTGTTTTGTGTGACTCCCACGTCACCTTGTAAGCCAGATGTTTTTAGGCTGTCGGAAAACGGGTCACAGAGACATCTAATGCCTTAATCCACCAGTGCCGGACATCCCCGCCCACGTTACCACTGCCAGTTTTTTAGCAATTGAAATTTTTTTCATTAAATGTGTTGCCCCTAAGCCACCTGCAGGTGGCGCCAGTGTATCTTCCCCTTCAGTTGTTTGCTGATAGCTTCTATGTGACAGGAGCTTGTTGAGTAGGGACATTAGTAACCTGGCTGTAAGCTCCACCCCTCTGGGGCCCCGTCAGTTACCGCCCCCCTGTGGGTCCCTCTCCGTATCTCACGCGTCGAACTTCAGACGCACCGACATCCCCTTTCATCTAAAAAGCCCAGACATCAATTACATGGCTGTTTTAATCGTTTAATTAAGAAAGTAATTAATGCTTATTAAAATGTATTCATCGGTAAACCTAGCTAGCTAGCTACACAGAGGCAAACAAAAACATGCAGTAATTAATCGTTTTTTAAAAACAGCACTCTTCTTCCACAATGTCCTGTATATTGTCCTAGATGTTGTGGTTGCATAAAACGACTAAGTGCAATGTATTTGTGATGTAGTGCATGTGTATTAGTGTCTGTAGTCTGTACGTACATCACGTAATTGAACGCAAAGTGATCTGTAACAAATTGAGGTATGGTATATATTTTTTTTTCTCATTAATGCTTTGACAAAAAGAACTGGTTTCAAATACATTTAAAATGCAGGCCTTTCTTCTGTCTGTATAAATGTGTGGTAGAATATGCACCCCAAATAGTAGGGCAGACTGCAATTAAAGCACGTAGACTGCGCTGTGATTGAAACGACTTGGCGGTTTGTAATGAAAGGCCCGTCTGCGCCGTGCATGTAGCAGGCCGGCAAGTTATCACTGACACCGAGCCCCTTCTCAGTCCTGTACTATCACACATGATGGAAAATAGATTGAACCTTTATTCAAATGCATAAAACCCAACTTGTCGCATAAATGAGGCTGATACATATTATAAATCCAGATAATTGTTCTCAAAGGACTTTCTTACGGAGGGGGATAAAAAAAATTGGGGCAGCGAATATCGAGCAACAATATAATTGCATTCCAGGTCTGTGACCTTAGGAAAATCAATTTAAATGAAAATGAGCTGGAATGGCTCTGCCTTGTATTTTAGAATTAATGATTTCTTACGGTTCCCCTGTCTGTGATGTTATTGATTTTATTTTTTTTATTTTTTCTTTCTCCTGTGTGTGTTCCTCTCTCGCTCCTTTTTCTCGGAAGCTAAGCGAAGCCAGTCTATCAGCAACTGTGTCCATCTTTACGAGGCTTTGCCTACTGCTAAAAGCGTGCCTGTTCTTCACACTGTGAGCTCTCTCTTGCCTGGTATCTCTTCCACCTCTTGCTCTCACAAACTCTCAGGTAAAGCCCACACAGAGCTTTCTTTTACTGTCTTCCTTTTTACTGCCTGTGTGTGTGTGTGTTTGGTGTCTTAGCTGAGGTCCTCTCACCCTGATGGGGTATAAGTTTGTAATTTGGTGTGATTCTGGAAATGTGATTCATTCTCTGTTTTTGAATCTGAAGCTGAAATTTTAAGTGGGGCAAGAATACTGGAATTGTAGGGAACTCGCATGGATTTGTAGGCGGGGTAGAGAGTATGATGCTATGGAGTATGTGGGCGGGGCCAGGGGCAGTGTAACACTGAAGTGAATGTGTGGGCGTGGCCAGGGGCAGTGTAACACTGAAGTGAATGTGTGGGCGGGGCCAGGGGCAGTGTAACACTGAAGTGAATGTGTGGGCGGGGCCAGGGGCCGTGATACCAGGGCTCGATGCTTAGTTCACCTTTGTCCCTACAGATGTGGAGGAGGGCCAGCTGCCAGAGAGTGGGGGGGATGGGGAGTCTGGTGATGGGGAGAGCCCACTGCCCCGAAGCAGCAGTACCTCTGACATCACGCAGTCGACAGGGGATGGCTTTCATGTCACGCAATGTAAGTGCCAGAAGGGAGTGCACCACAGTCAACACTCTCACTCAGTTTAACGCCAGGAACAAGCACTGCACTGCAGACCCTCAGACACTCCACATACCCAGTGCTGGTGAAATCATTGTCGAGGCCATTGAGTGAGGCTTTGCTGCCTCAGATGTAATAACAGCACTTCTCTATCATGGTTCCTCTTATCAGTGTACAAACACTGTCTATCTCAGTGTGACCTCTTTCCACGCCTGTCTGAATCACAGGTCAGAAGAAGGAGTACTCTCCGACTGCCGGGAGCGGGGACTGCCAGGCGGCGGCGTGTGATGGCGGGCTCACCGGGAGGAAGGGCAACGAGCTGCCGACGGTGAGCGGCCGTCGCGCTTCATGTCACGCGGTTGTGCAGTAGAGGGGGTCTGCATCACTGCCCTGGGCCCAGTGTCACTCTCTCTCCCTTAACACCATTAGCACAGGCAGCAGCCTGTTAATCAACTGCAGCTTAAGTACCTGGATCTGTGAGATTTCTTCAGTTCACAAAGGTCGCTTCTCAGCTCCTTGTGTATGTTTACGGCGCTGAGTTTCATTCGACCTTCATATGGAATATGGGAACCCCAAAGTCTTAGTGGGACTTCTCATTGGACAGTTTACATTTGCATGTATTTTATTTAGCCAGTGCTTTTGCCCAAGGCGATGTTCAAGTGAGGCCAATGGCACATTACAAACATACGGCTGTCAAAGAGCCGATTAGGCGTAAATGCAGCTAGGCTGAGCTGCCAGTGAACGCCCAGGTACAGTGTAAGCGGTACCAGAGCAGGAGCTACACAACATCTCCCAAACAAAGCAAGAACCTATTAAGACTGCTATTCAAATGAGCAGACAGTGCAACATTAAGGCAAGTATAGGCGTTCCTGGAACAGAAGGGATTATAAAATAAGTTTTGTTTTTCCTTTTTTTAAAGTATTATTTCTTCCATATAGTGTGTTGTGTAAATACTCTGTTCATTGGTTGCATGACTTTAATGGTATGTCCTTCCCGGGCTATCAGATCTTCATCAGGCGGAGCAGCAGCCCCGCGGAGCTGGAATGCGCAGGAGACGGGTCTATGGGGGGAGGACGGGCTAAACTCCGAGAGAAAAGTATGAAAGAGCACCTTCACCCATCCCTACGCCGACGACTTTACTAGCTTCACCATTTTTGCCTGTGCGATGGACTTTGCGTGTCTCTTCCCTGCGTCCAGGCGAAAGCGTCAGCAGCGAAACTTCCAACGGTTACCTGAACGACGCCGACGTCTGCCTGTCGTGGCAGACTTTTGAGGAGGAGTCGGAGCCCCCGTCGCCCCACGACGTGGGCATCGATCCCGACCCGCAGAGGAGCCTCACTGAGGCGCTGGCAGGTACCCGGGTGACCCGCCCTACCGCCTCACCTGCCTGTTCCCTGGCGAGGTGGAGCTCTGTTGATATTCATTGGTTGGTGTAAATGAGATGAAGGCACGTCTTGAAAGGGGAAGATTTTCTGGTGTCCAGGCCCTGGGAGGTGTAACCCGTGAGCGTCTGAATGTGGGTAATGGTGGCTTAGATTTAGAGATGAGGAGGCCCGTTTGGTAGAGGCCAGCCATGTTTCTCTGTGGCTTTAGTCGCACAGTACCATGAGTCAGACGGTCAGTGCCTTGGAACTTGGTGGAGTTTGGCCCCTGGAAACCAGAAGCATTGAAAAATGACCCCGTTCTTTCTTTCAACACCATTACTGAAGAGTCCGGACACCGTCCTTTGAAGAAGCGGAATCAGTGTTGACAAAATTTGGAAAACTTTAAGGGCTCCTAATGGAAAGTGGTTTATATTCCAATACCAAAGAACAGTGATCTGAAGGAGGGTGCAAACTATCATGAAGTTTCCCTCCTATCACATGCCAATCAGATCATGCCAAAGAGGATTCAGTGGTGATTATAACCTTGCATAGAAAGAGAATTGCCTCTATTCAGAAATGGCTGAGTCAACGTTGCTGACTTACGATGGATAACAGAGAGATCCAAGGAATGCCAGGAGGAGGTCAGCGTGAGTAAAGCATTGATTACAGCAAAGGCTTCAATTGTATCGACTATGTCAAGTTATGGAATGTTCTCAAGAACTTAGGTGTATCAGGGCATCTTATTGTCCTTCTTAAGGATCGATGGAAAATTCGCTGGTAGGATGGTAAATGAAGAAATGGTTTGGGAGATAGACCAGGATGAGTGCTGTCACTATATATGTTAAACATATAAGAGAAGCTGGATGTGAAGAAGACAAATGCAGGGCAAGATTGGAGGAAGAAACATCAACAGTCATCTGTATGCTAAGGACCGCACTTTCCGTGGGAAGTGAAGACAAAGGAAAGTTAAAGAACAGCGGGAAGGGACTGCAAATCAAGAAAATTAAAGATCTGCAGTTAATTTCAGTGCTGATGGTGAGAACATAGAGGTTATAAATGGCTGCTGCCTCTGGAAGCATCAACAACATTGGATTCAGCAGTTGGTAGATATATGGCTGATTGGCTGTCGTGAAGTTTTCGCTTGTGAGAGTTTTACTTACGCGAAAATGTTCTGAGGGCTGAAGGAAAATTGATTGGTTCAGAGAGATACTGGGAACTGACAGGGGGGGCTGTGCAGTTACCTTTTAGTTTCCTGACCGGATCCTCGAGAACCCAAAGACGGTCCACATGCAAAAATGTGGACCGTCTGTGGGTCCCCAAGGACCGGATTGGGAAACACTGCCGTAGAGGAAAAGTGGATGGATGGATGGATGGATGGATGGAGTGTGTGTCTGTGCTGCTTGGCAGCTTGCGGGCTGAATCGTAAATCCTCTGCGCAGGGACAGGGAGGAATATTGATGTGCCGTCATTAACTTAAATGTGTTTGAAGAGTTTCATGGCCAAATGTTAAATGGCTGATAGGAACCGCAGTGACAGTGTGTGAGAGGTGATCTGAGGTCTGTCAGCGTTCAGGTACCAAGAACAAGAGGAGGGTCTTGAGCCCGCCCAAGGTGCTCTCCTTCCCCCCTCGAGATGTGAGCAGCACGCCCTCCCTGCTTCGTCAATCCTCCCCCCTGATTGGCCCCCTCAAAAGGCTTCTTTTCTTGCCTTGGAAACAGCACAGGAAGGTGTGGATGTAGCTTCCTGGTGGGGGGAGTCCTCACCTGCCTCACTGGAATCGATACTGGGACATGCTATGCTGTTTATGCCCTGGACCACCCATCTGCCTCATCCATGGTTCCTGTTACCTGTCAGCCCCCTGACTACCTGAGAGCCCCCCAGCTGAAAGCCTGGCGTTCATCATGCGGAGCCCTCGCCCAGTGGCCCGTGGGTTTGCTCAGCAGGCCCTTCTCCCTCTGAGAGGTTTACACAGCTGGACACGCTCGCCAGCCCCTTTGGGTCTCGCTTACGTGCAGCGGCCCGGCTGCCTCTTACTCAAGGCGGATTCATACAGCTGCCACCTCCACTGGAGCCATTAAGGGTTAAGTGCCTTCCGCTAGGCTGCTCAAGGGCGCCCCCTAGCACTTCAGCTGTCTGCTCCCTGGTTATGGGCATCATCCCTCACCGCTGCACCACCTGCATGGCTGCTGTCGGTGCCCCACTGGGCTTTAACTGCTACGCCCTCTGCAGGATTTCATTTTCATTTTTTTGTGTGATTAGAACGAGTTTAGGTCACATTTGTATGGTTGGTTTCCTCCTGCATCTGTGAGTGTCCTCTCATTTGTTAATGCTGAAGCAATGACTCTTGGTTGCTGGCACGATGACCTCATATATCGAGTTGGTTTGTACTGTACAACGTGGGCTTCCCTGTGGGGACTCCCAGAGTCATGTAATTGTTGTGTGGCGTCCGTGTGCTCATTCATCATTCATTCATTCATTCATTCATTCATTCATTCATTCATTCATTGTGAATTTATGGCCATCGTGTTGGTGTTGTGACCTGTTTCTGTCCGGCACTGCCGTCTCTCCCTGTTCCAGGTCCTGAGTGTGCCTTCCCTCCCCAGCCCGCTTCCCTGCCCCGCCCCCAGCACAGCCCCCCCCTCCTGGAAGACACCATGCACCAGTCTGTGTTGCACATGGAGGATCTGGGTACCTTCCCCCCCGCCCCTTCCTCTCTCCCCCATACCATGCTGCTTGGTTGCCAGTGTGCCGGCGATCCGGTCCGTCCCAGATGCTGGGAGGGGGCTGCGTTCCGCTGAGGGATAGGGCCGTCTATCGCTCTCCCGCCTTCCGCCCAGCTCCATCTTCTTGCCGATTTCGCTTAGCTCTCCGTTGGGCTTCACACGCCAGAATACACGTGCTCTGCATGTTTTCGCTTCTCTCCTCCGCTGCGTTTCTCACTCCTAGCACTGTCTTCTTTCTGCCTGTCAGCATTTTTTTCAGTGTCTCAGTAAACAAACCCTCTGCTGCTTATTGTGCAGTTTTGTGAAGTTCTCTTCTGAATGGCAGGAGTGTTTATCGGGGTAGTTTCAGTTACAGAGCTTGCGTTACATTCTCAGTCTCGTATCATTTAATGTACAAAGGTTCCGCCTCCTCAAGCTTCCTATTGGCTGACCTTTACAGTGCCCCTCCTCCTGACCTTTTATAGGTGCAATAACCAAGCATCTACAAAGAGGGTATCTGATTGATGGTCACAAATTAAAGTGCCCTGTAATCCATTTTTTAGTAATTGATTTGAAAGCGTAGACATGTGCATTACGATATGTGATCGATGTGGATTGGTAGCATGGGCTCGGTCAGAGGGCCGTCACATGAATCCTTTCTCACGCTGACGCAACCACCCTGTCGGCCCCGCAGACAGCAGCGAGTGCCTGACCGACGACATCAGCATCATCGCCGGGGGCAGCCTCACCGGCTGGCACGCTGACTCTGCCGCCGTGCTCTGGAGGAGGATTCTGGGAATCCTGGGCGACGTCAACAGCATCCGTAACCCTCAAATACACGCCAAGGTGTTCCTGTATCTGCACGAGCTCTGGCACAAACTGGCAAAGGTAATCCTCTGCCCAGCGCACGCGGGATGGGTCTGGGTGTCAAAGTGCTACAGGTGTATTTCTTCTTGATAAACTTTGGGGACTTGGAAGCTGGTGTCTGAAAGTCTAAATGTATATGCTGCTGAACCGTGCATTGTTTTTGGATGATTGGACCCAAAGATCACTCCAGTGGTATTTGTTGTCTGCAGAGAAACTCCACACAACAGCAAAATGTTGGTAATGGGTCAGTGTGAGCTTGAGCTAGTCTGTTAAGGCTATAAGACCTTGTGAAGCACTACAGTAAGTCAGAATGGGTAAAGGCAGGGTCCTGATTGGTGTGTGGTGGAGAAGGGCCCTCAAGGGGGCGGGGGCAGTGGGGTGTGGCTGACGGCACCTGTGTTTGCAGATCCGGGATAACCTGGGCATCAGCGTGGACAATCAGTCCTCGCCGCCGCGGCCGCCCCTCATCCCGCCCCTCAGGATGTTCGCCTCTTGGCTGTTCAAGGTGAGAGGACCCCAAGTCTCCCGGTTAACCCCCCCCGTGCATTCCAGAGTGCCCACTGGCACGTGCGCAGCAGCGCCTCCTGGCTTTTCACGCTCCCTCTGCCATTTTAGCGCCTGTGTTTTTCACACTCTTTCGTGACTTTTGTTACCGCGTGCCGAGTTTTTCACACCTCGCGTTTCTGTCGCCCCCCCCCCCCCATTTTGCTAACGAACATTTTCAGGTGTTTTTTATTTATTTAGTTCTTCTTTTATTTCTCCTGCATGCTACGTCTTGAGCTGCTGGGTCAGTCAGTGTTGGCAGCTCTTTGCTGCTCTGTGCTGTGGAGATATTAACTGTATCCTCTCCTTTTTCTGTGCCCTTTAATGATTCCTCATAGGGCCTCTTTTTCTGTGGGTCGGGGGTGTTTGCGAATTTAGTTTGTGCCGAGCAAGAGCCTTCTAACCCTCCACCCCCCCAGGCCACCACCCTGCCAGCTGAGTACAAGGCCGGCAAGCTGCAGGCGTACAAGCTAATCTGCGAGATGATGACCAAGCACCAGGACGTCCTGCCTAACAGCGACTTCCTGGTGCACTTCTACAACGTCATGCACCAGGGCTTCAACAGCGAGGATCAGGTGAGCCGCTGGTGCCTCCGCAGGACGTGCCGTGTGACATCTGCTTTGCTAAAGATATTTCAAATCTGATATTACAGAGTAGCGCACATTTCTAACTGTAAATGACATGTCAAGCTACAAAATAGACCCAGGTATATGAACAAGGGTTCCCAGCAGGTGGGTAAACAGGCATCATATTACTTGATACAGACTTGAGTGAAATATTGTGGAGGTGTAGTTCAGGCCAGTGAACACCAGGTGGCGGTATGGTACCACTGACCAGGTAGTGGCGTGTTTTGTTGTTGTTGGTCCAGGCATGAGCTGTAAAGCCCTGAGCAACTGTACAGGCGTACCTGTTATTATTTTGCCTTCATCTGTCTTTAATAAGAAGTGCCCTTTTGTTTGTTAATACATATTTTCGTATTCTTACGTTAAACAGTTCAATAAATTGAACTTTGTGACAGGCCCTGTGCTGCTCTCACAGATATACCTCCATATGCTTGGATGTTCCTCTCCCTCGTATTAATCTTATTCCGCATTGATTTCAAGTTGTCAGTTAAAGGAAAAGAAAATTCCCTGCTCACTCATTTTCGTCTTCTCTCTGCGCCGGAGCCTTTCTTCATATTTTTAGCACAAAAGGAAAGAAAACGTGACTAACTTTATGTATATCGGACAAAGCCGCCAGTCGAGTGCCCCATCTCTTTGAGAAATGCATATCAATCATCAGAAAAGCATTAACTCATAAAGAAAAACGCAGTAATGTGACATTGATTGGGCGTAATCTGCCCATTTCGCCTCCGGCCATTTTTTTTTGCGATTCCCAGCCAGTTAGCTGCCCAGGGTAATGCTGCGGCCTTTGTTGCAGGATCAGCGTTGAGTAGAGGTATATCCAGGATGAGAGTACTGTAACGTCGCCCTGTCGCTTCCACGGCATTCGCGACCCTCAGCTTTTGTTCGTCCCGATCAATAGCTGGTGAGAGAATCCAAGTCGGGGCTGTTATAAATGTAAAATGGAAAACTACAGATGCTGGCTGTGTTAAGCGTATTCACCGTTAACAGCATGAGTGTCTAACGGCGTGCAGGTTACATCAGCTGCATAATTTATGGCTGAGTGCTTATCGTAAGGGGGGTTTGGTAAAGTAAAAACCTCTAATATATAAGAGGAGCCTAATTTGGTTTGTTTCTCGTTATGAAGGTATTTGCGTTTCCATCTGCCTGTTACTCCTAAGTGGGGCCCCAGTTGTTTGCGGGGAAGGGAGCGCATGTGTCTGAGAATGGGGCGAGCAGAAGGCCATCCCAGCACGACTGCCATGGCCCCCGCCACATGCAGGAGCGAGGGGGGGGGGAAGCAGCAGGGAAGCAGCGGGCATCGGGGGTCTCTCTCTGGTCAGGCGTGGGAGCCAGCAGGCCCGTCGGCCGCGGGCCGCCAGCTCTCGCCTCGTTAGCATGGGCCGCCCCCCCGCGGCCCCCAGCTCTGCCCGGGCCCCTGGCGACCCCGTCTGTCACCACGTGTCGTCTTCATCCCCCGAAGAAGGCCTAACCCCCGCCCTCCTCAAATTTGAACGCTGGTGACACGTTTTGGCTTGGAGCCATTTTGTTGGAGGGGGGGGGATGGGAGGGGGGGTCCTGTCGCTGGCCGCACAGCTGCTGAGCCGATGGCACTCAGGAAGGCGAGCCATTTTGTTGGAGGGGGGGGGATGCGACCCCCCCCTCCCCCCCCCCAGCACCCCAAGAACACAAAGAGTACAGTAATGGCTGATCTTCGTGATTAAATTCCTTTGTTTTGCGCGTGAATCGGCACGCATTCTGCCCAGGTTTACGTGGGGGCCTGCCAGCAGGACAATCTTATTAGAATGTTTCCATGTCATTAAATAATGTTTGCGCCCCCACCGCGTCTACGTGATTAATTAACGGCTGTCTGCCGCGCGCATCCGGCGGGGACGCGTTTTGGCGGGGGCTAGAAGGTTTTACCTCCCCAGCCCCCCGTCTCTGGCGAGTGTGGGCCGTTCCTGACAGCGACCTCGCCATGTTGCTGGCCGTTGTTGTACCTGAACGTCTTAAGCGGGGCTCATGCCCGGCTGCCACAGGCCCAGTCGGATGGGCTTCTCAGGAGAATGTCCTAGAGCAGCCACGCGCGGGGTCTGATTTCCCTTACACTTCCTGTGCACATTATCAGTCCCATAATCCTCGTCTCTCTGGAGGTTTTGTAAAGTGCATGACGGATGTTGGTAGATGAAGTAATACGTCTTACAATGTGCCTATTGTGGGGAAGAGCTTTGACTGATATATATTTTTTTTTAGGATTTAGAAAACTTGGGCACTGGGCGTGTGGCTTAGGGGGTTAGGATTCTGCGTCTGATCAGGTGGAGGCTGCTGTCTGACAGCAGCTGGTACTCAGGTAAAGCAGCAGGACCAAACCGGTGCTGGGAGAGGTCATGTGACCTGTCCGTGTTCACCTGAGCTCAGCCCTGCTGGTCTGCCTGCCTTATAAAGCCAGCGGCCGTGGATTCAGTGGATCTGCAAGGGTTCACACAACATCCAGGAAAAGCTGAGCAAGCTTCAGCTCAGGAAACCGCCCCCTCGGAATCGCTGCGCTCTCGGCAGTTAAGTGCAGCAGCATGTCCGGAGAGTGGCACACACCCCCCCCCCACCGCCAAGGCCTCGCCTTTACGACGGGGGCCGCAGCTGCTATGTTGATCCTTTACCCCCTCCAATGTCATTCTCTCCCTGGTTAAGAAGAGCAGCCCTGTCCAGTCTTAGCTGTCGGTCCCAAGATCACCCTCAGCCCAGGCCAGAAGTGCAGGATTTGATCCCAGACCCTCCTGGCGCTCTCTGCCTGTGCTCTCTCTGCTCTGTTTAATTCCCATCTAACTCCGCATGCCTTCAGTGAGTCCTCAGGTGTTCAGGGCCTGAGCGCCTGTCTTCACCGTAAGCAGAAACACAGCTCTCCGTTTGTCTTTCACCTTTTTGCATTTATTTTTTTCCCCTTTTTCTAAATCATTTCTTTCAGGACAGAAAGGCGCGTAATTTTCCTCATTGAAATGAAAGACACACATCTTTGGCTTAAAAAGTACAATTATTGTAACTGTGGAGCTGAAATGACTTCTGCGCTCTGCAGACATCAGGCCCGAGGTTGCTGGTTGTTTTATTTCGTTTTATTCTTTAGTTATGACTGCGCGAGGGGGTTAAGCTTTTCAGATTTGTGTTAATGCACCTTTTGTTGTGGGAACAAAACGGCACATCCAAAGCGCTCTGATGTAAGACCTTTCCTCCGCCTCTGTACCCCCACCCCACCCCATTTCCACACACAAATTTTCAAATTGTGTTTCCCTACTTATGGGCACAATGGAAATGTTTTCGGAGAGTTGTCTGTCGCACTAAAATGCTCATTTCGTGTAATCACCCAACTGTTTGCGACTGTTAATTACCTCTGACTGTTCAACACATTGCGTTCCAAAGGTCAATTACGGCAGAATGAGGAAAAATGTGAATCTACGCAAACGCTTAAACCAATTTTCTATTTCTGTCACAGCATGTTCCCTTTATTGCTTGTTGTTTTTCCCCCCACCCCCTTTTCCTGCCCCCCCCCACTCTCTATTTTCAAAGCATTCAATTAACGTGATTGATTCACCAGGTACCCCCCCCCCCCCCCTTTTCCTGCCCCCCCCCACTCTCTATTTTCAAAGCATTCAATTAACGTGATTGATTCACCAGGTAGCGAGCAGCTGAATGCTGCCAGTATTCACTGTAGTGCTACATGATCGTGCAGGAGTGGTGTGATGTTTAAACTGGCTCTTCTTCCTGATACAGCCCCTCAGAAACGGGGCAGACGTTTGGCTTGTGAGCCTGGCCTAGCTGTTCACACAAGAAACAGTCTGATAAGGAGAATAACACCCCCGCCCCAGCGCCATGCCCTTTACATGTAACCCGTGCTATCTGCCATACTGGCACTGTCCCCCAACCTCCCCCCCCCCCCCAAATTAAACATTTTGACATGACCCCTGACCCTGACCAGGAAAAGGGGTTGATGGATGGATGAGACAGATAAGTTCTCAGCGGTTTGGAGAGGGCAACAAAGGTCAGCATTTGGGCTTATAAAGGTACCTCTCTGGGGATACGTCACCCCCCCCCCCCCAATCTGCTGTGGCACTGACTGGGGTTCAC